CAGGTCCTGTCCAGTTCAGCATGCTAAAGGTTCCTATGAGAGCATTAGGCTAAACTGGACAGGAAGTATTACCGTGAGACGGCTAAAAAGGTTTCCCGTCCAGTTTACGTTGGACCAATGAAGATGATGTTAGCGTTGACCAATAGAAATTCACCACTATGCGTGACAATCCGGCTGGTCCAGATCCCGTCATTGCCTCCCATGGGTATCCGAATACTGACAACACACTTGAACGCACTATGCGCCTAACCAATATATGGACGACTCGGACCTAGTGTTCACCCGGTACCAGTTGCGGTAGTTTCTGGACTTGGGATCCCACCTAGGCGGCGACTCAAAGCTGTTGGTCAGAAAAGGAAACCGCTCTTACCTCGCACCTGACATCACTAGGCGAAAGAAAATTAAAACCGAGTTATAGGAATGCTATATATACATGAAGGGGTGCAGTACAAAGAACGTTAGTAGCAGAAAGCCGCATAGTCAATATTCTTAATCTGCTTCCGCGAGTGTCAACGTAGGAGGCTAAAGATGTGCCTAAGGAAGCAGGGGACTCACCTCATTGGCACTGCATACTTTAGTTTGCTCAACCGGCGGTCTTTTGTGCCGTGCAGAATGCAACCACGTTTTGATGTGCCGTGTAATGTCAGCATCCGAGGCTGCATCACCCATGCGTTGCCGAATGAGGCCTTGGTAGTTTTTATGGATTACTGCATTTCAACCTACCTTGTACAAGGCCGTTCAGATTTGTTCGCCTGAATGCAAAGGAACCTCTAGCACCGGAGTAATTTATCTCCGCGGCAACTGATCTTGTCATTAGCCGCTCCATGGTACCCCGGACAATGAGTTGTATGTTATCACCGTGCACAGCACCTAAATGGTTGACCTAAAGTATTTGAATAATAAGACGAACTTACGACTCTGATTTTGAAATCCGGGTCCTTCAGCCGTTCATCATATCTCTTTAGCTCACTGAGAGAGATGAATGGCAGAGATAGTCCCGGCGCAACACTTTGGGATTGTCGTTGTAGCATTTGCAACATCGCTTCGGACATGCGACGATGGCCGACCAATTCTGATCGGATGAGACACAACTCATCTAAAAATAAGGCTGAGTGCAATGCAATACATCTGTGGCGTCTTACATTTTATGGCCTGCAGTTCGTGCAGCACATCCAGATTGCTTGGTGGGACGTCAGCAATAACCGGTAGCGGGATTGCTGTTTAATAGGGGCAGTATGAAATCGATACTTACGGTTGCTTGTTGATGGTCCTGGACGTGACGGACTAATGCCACTGAACAGAGAGGAGGGCGCACGTGCGTAGGTTGCTGCAGAAGGCCTTTTGGGTTTGCTTGGACGCGCGGCATCCTCGTCATCGGAGCTCGAACGGACGGGCCGGCGTCTAAGGGGAAATAAAAAACACAATACTCACATTGCACGCTTAGCTGGAAGGCCCATGGGAATTGTATCGTCTGTCGATGGCAGCATCCCGCGCTCAGATTGCCGTTCCATTTCTCGGGCATGTTGGAAGCTAACTAACGAGGTGGGTTAATACAAGAGAAATACTTACCAGTGCTAACGATTATGGACACGGCAGTGCTAACCACATCGACATCCGGCGCAGTGTGATTTTTCACCGCTGCATAGTAGTGCGTACCTCGCACTGAAGGTATTTGAGCGTACGAACCCTCTTCTCTAAGCCAAGTGTTACTGACAATAGTTATTAAATCCTCGGAGTCAAGGAGTTTGACAACGCTGTATCCTTGAAAAGCCATCATTGCTGAAAAAGAAAGACGTTAGTAGTTAAAGTGTATAACTGTGTGGCATAGGGTAAATTACAAGAAAATCGTTCAAGGGTAAAGCAATGCACTTAAAGAGAATATGACAGACAGAGAAGGTACATACCTCAGTTGACAACTGCGATGCACGGAAGATGTACGCCGTTGAGGAATCCATGCTATGCGTGAACAGACTACGAAGATTCATAAATTCCCGGCATTGCACGACAATGTTCCCGGACACATTCACAGACACATCTGTCAGTACTCTGGGTTTGGCATCGATGATGACCACGTTATCCGGCTTCACAGTGGAAAACAAAATGCCGTGCAAACAAAACGCCTTCTGACCCTTATATGTGCACATCTCTACATTCCCAACGGTGCTTGCGTTGCTGGAAGTAGGAGGAAGCTGTTCCTCTTCCGACGTACGCCGCATGATTTGAGCAACCGGACGCGGGGAATTGTGAATCATGCGCTTGATGGAAAACAAGTGAGACTCGAAGGGAAATGCTGAGAAGCTGTCTAGAGTCCCCATCTTTCGTACGTCAGCGGGAAGATGAACTAGTGAGTGTACGTTCCACGTCATCTCACTGGGACCATAAAGATCAAAGTAATCATGTAAAAATACATGAATTAAAGGAACAAGGAAATCAAATAAGGCAGTGTGAAGGTGAGGGTGGCACATGATATAAATAGCCAATGAGAGATCTAGAAAGTTTTGATAGAAAGCGTCAGGCAATACCCCAATTAAACAAGCCGGTCCGGCGTATAGCAAAAACTGACGCAACTCAGTTGCCTTCCAAGATCGGTATTCATCCAGTGATCGAAGCTTACGTGGAAAGTCCGATGTCCAGGAAGGCCCGAACTCATGCAACCGTTCGTTAGCTAAAATCAATCGCTCTCTGCGCAGTCGAAATCCACTGTCCACGGGCGAAGTAAGCCAGTTTTTTATCATTCTGCGCATAACACCCAAACATACTGAATGCATATAGTCAATAGGGAAGTCCTCAACCAAATCGACATTCAAAGCAGCAAAAGGCGACGGTTGGCTATCATTCCTTCGAACGGATGCATTAGTCCGTAGTGTGCTATCAGTAAGTGGGTACGTTACCTTGCGGCTCATATACTCACCACGTTGGGTGCATTTGTCACAGCTGTAATAACCGGAATGTTCTTTTTTTCTTTTCACATACGCACGTGCAGGGGTATCACAGATAACGGCTTTAAGCTTGAATAATCCTTGGCGTTGCAAAGTACGTATCTCATTAATTGTGTCGTACAAGTAATCGTCCACGTCATTCGGCTTCGAGGTCCCACCATAAACACCAACAATGAATGGCTTCGTGATCACTGGCTTTATGACACGGCACAAGATTGGCCATACATGCATCTTGGATGCATTAAAAGGTTTAAACCCGTCGATATGCAACTGATAATCAACAGTGTCATCAGCGGCGAGCGAAATAGCAGAGCATGCACGCTGTAAACCTCTCAGCAGACCTACGTGACCGTAAGTTCCCGGTGAAACAACGCGAATGCGGGAGGTCCGTGGGGTGCGCATCAACGTCCGGTAGTCCTTTGGCAAAAAGGGCATCCACGGCTGCACAAGGCACAACAGTGGACGAACAAAAGACGCAGGTACTTGAGATTTTGCGATCAATTTTCTCAAGTTATTTACCAATTCATCGGGGTCCCTGTCATCTTCACTGCGGTTGATAACGTGTGCATGTGGCTGAACTGTGTAAGCAATCATATTTAAGATATGTTAAAGATGCTCTTACCCTTCTGTTTTTTTTTTTTTTACATCAGAAGCACCTCTTCGTAGCTGAATCCTGATTTCATTCTTTTCGCTGCACGGTAAATGGTGCTACGAGACGGAAACTGTGCAGTTAATTGATAACTTCGTCGACGTGACATGCTGAAAGGGAACACCTACGTATCAAACAAGTGTTAACCGAAATACCTGATAGGTACACCTGTGGAAACGCTGTTTCAATGAAGCTAGACAACAGCGCAGAACGAAGCGGTATCAGCGACCAAGGTTACGAACCCAAAAACGGCCAAATAAATAGACCTGCAGATGCATTTAAACCGCTGGGGTTATGGTCAAATAATAGCAAATATAATGCATATCAACTATTAATTTATTACCAAATGTCAAAATAAATGCATTTAGCTGCAAGTAATGCATTAATACCTGAAGTGGACATCTGTCCAGTTTATGTCCAGGTTGCTACGTTTAGTGTTACGTTTGTGCTACCAGGGTGCGTACACGTTTGCGCGTATATCGCTTTAGAACTCCTGATAGAAATTAGGATGGGAAACCGTTAAAATATATTGATTCTTTCCATGTTGACGTTGTAAAATTCAAGCATAACCATATCTCCGCAGCAACATTACTTATGTTAATGCACTACCACCCTATATTGCTGAAACCTGATGTAAAGCATTTTTACATAGCATTTTTTGTTTTCTGGAAAGGAGCTGACGTCATGGCAATATTTATCATGCAAGGAGCCAATTTAATCATCAGAAGTGAAAATCGTTAACCAGTTATTAATTGCATACTTCTGACCTAGTAGCCAAAGGGTAAGGATTTCGGCCATTATTTTAGTGGTCGCAGGGTCAGAGCTTGTTGTATATAACTGGTGAGATAAACCGCTAACAAAATGTAGCACGGCTATGCAGTATTTTCCTATATGACAATTACCTACCAGTTAGCAAGATAGGCATTTCGCCAACGCTTACCTCTGCCGCTTAATAAACATCCGACGGTTTTATTGCTGTGGCCTCCGCAAGCAATTGCCCACGCCTGTGCAGCTGTGCCGTTTTATCTAGAACAAAACCGTATGTATTTATTTAATAGCCTACCATACCACCTATGTTTAGCGAATGTAGGTTACCACAAAACGTTAAAGGACCAAAAGCTTAACGTCTACAATTTCTTGGATGAAATTGCGCTAACTGAAATATAACGTTGTCTGTAGCGTTGTTATTCACAGTCTTTTGTCTACAAACGTAAGTTGATTATGTTGAAAGGATATATTTGCATTTAAGCTGAAGTACCACACGCAATCCTGGTTTAGGTCCGGTATATAAGATAGGGATTACACTGCACGTTTGTAAACTAGATTATTTGACTTAGACCAGTAGTGCTATCTTAAGGGTGGTTATTCAGTGCATAAGTAGTTTACTATGTTGACCAATGGTTAGATTTATTTCATTAGTCTATATAACTTTGGCCCATTTTATCTATAAATGGTCGTTACCTTTTCAACTAATTAGCAATAAAACATGTGTAACCATAACCTAGGTTAGCTGTGATTTGATACATTATGTGTCATTAGGCTCTTAATAATAGCTGGTATTTCAAGTAAATTTGTGCTTAACTACCTGTGCAACTACTAGTTTACATAAAACGTTACGCTTTTAGTTTTGGGTCCACGCCTTTGGAAATTGTGGTGTGCAAACTAGTGAGACATAAACACAGTCAAATTTCTATTGTCAGCAACCTAAGCCGGTTTGAAGTAATTTTACCGTATATCGGCTAGCAGCGTTCAGTGTGTCAGCGTTTATAAATTTGCACTAAAGACTCCGTTAGAACATGGGGGAAAGTATATATGACCCAATAATTGATATATAATCTAGGTAGGATAGTATGGCTGTTAGCATCGTTAGGTGGTGAATATGTTACTAGCGAGTAAGTTCGATTTGTGAAGGGCATAGAGAAGCTGTTATGATATAGTGCTTTTGGATATTTTATGCGCTTGCCTGCTTACTAAAAGGTGGCAAAAGTAAATCTATGAGTCGGTGTGCTTGTATGTTTTCAGAAAACTGTGTTGTCTCTTTGTTAATTGCAACCACTGTATGTGGACATCAGGCTATGGGTTTTGTCGACGCATAAGTATTATGCTTCCGCACCGCCGTCTGAGCGAAAACTAGAAAGGCGTGCCCGTAGGCGTTTGATGCGTGCGTTGGTTGTAAGTGATCTTAATGTTGCGGTGACCGCCGCAGACAAAGGTACAAGCTCACAGCCTTTAGTAACCGGTGATATATTTCGAGTAAACGTTCCATCCGTACATTTGGCGAGCGCACCGGTTAAAATCAACAACCTCATGTTGTTGATCCATGAAGCAATTGCTGACGTTCATTAGTATTCCAGTTGTAGCAAAAGATGCAGCATTTTCTCTTCTTCTTAAACACTTTACTTATAGCAACAGCGGTTGCTTCAACCTCTACGGAAGTAGTGGAAAGTAATAACACGTTTACAGTGTAGATGGACTATGAACTTCCCATGCGTGTTTGGTTATGACCAATCAGCGACGTAGTACAGCCTCAAAATTTTACTTCCGGTCTACATAGCTTCAAGCCAACGTTGTCCAAAGGCTACCAAACGCTCGTGGATATGCCAATTGTAAAGCCCCTAACCGATGTGGAGCCTGACAACTATGGGCGCGTCAGGCGGGTACGCGGTTAGCAGCATGCCTAACGCCAACGAGGAATATCAAACGTAGGCATGCATATTCCAATAGACGGATCTATATTATTTACGTCACCACGGACGCAGGTTTGCTCGGTTGTGTTTTGTGTAATTACAGCTGTGTCTCACCCAACCTACGTGGACCTGTATAGGCGATCTTGAAAACAGAATGCTGTACTCTAATTTTGGAGCTTTCTTTGGTGAAGTTGCTTATTGTACGGAATCCTGGTTTACCTTTAACGGATGAAACGAACGTAGGTGTTTCGGACGCATCCACTTTCATTTAAATGCACCGGCACGAACTTACGTCCATAAGCGCTGGGGTCATTCTGGGCATGCAGCTGTTGTAATTGCGTTCAAGATTGTTTCTGGATAAATGGAGGGTTACTTTTCTCCAACCGCTGCCGGAAACGCACCAATTCATCCATCCGAACAAGTCCACCTGATGAACCGTTTCCTTTAACTTCAATCCTCAGTGATATGATAAAGGAATTGCTAAGCGAATATCCGCATGCCGTTTGCTTGGGAGTAATGTGCCGCATAGCCTCTATGCTTATGGATGAACTTTGTAACCCACTTACTGTTTGACGAAGTAAAATATTGTGTCGCTCTAAAACTTGGTTGAAGGGAATGATGGCTTCGGGTGTTCTGAATTCACTTGTGAATTTAACTGTATTAAAGCTTTACACCTTTGGAAAGCAACAGCAACGGCTGGCTGGCCGAACAACCTCCTCGTGGTGCCAGCTGGGTGGTTGGGGTTTACCCCCTTCCAGCAAATAGTTCGGCGGCAGTGTTCCAGGACGTGGTGGGTTTTCGCCTGGCAAGCTTTCTCCCTATAAAAAGCCACAAAAGTCCGTTTAACAACACTGTGACGTGGCGGTTGTGACCCGCCCCTAATTAAAGTCACCCAACGCTTACCCGAACAATCGCCTCAAGTCCACAGATAGGAAGCCTCCATTAAGCACTGGCGACACCTTCAAACACATTCAAGCAAAACAACAGGAAAAATTTAATAATCCCGTAAACAAAGCTAAAAACGCCTACATGCAAACTTACATACATTCATATTTAAACATATGCAACAATCCCATTGTACATTAACTGATCACATTTTGTACTCATAACATGACCATGCCTGCGCAGGCGTGCGTCGCTTAGTCGAGAATACAAAATTTATTTATTTATTTATTTATTTATAAGTAGTTTCTGCGTTTCTGCCGATATTACCGTGCCTGATATTACACGCAGCTTGAGCGGTATCTGGTCACCTACCTCTTGTGCAACACTACCAACAATAAAACACAATTACGGGTCGCACCAGCATGTATGTGCGCATCCGTGGAGGACGTTATTCGCCTGTACGGTGAAGATAGAATGATCCTGGATGTACGTTCTTTGACACTTGGTGGAGGATGTTCAGAATCATGGCACGCTGAACGGCCATGTAGCATTTCCTTTTTGGGCACACATCCAAGTCTCATAAAGGAGGATGAACAACGGAGCAAACCAGGTGGCATAAGTGTTTTGACGTTTAGAAGGCTTAACAACGCACGACGCTTACCTGTTTCTCTACTTACTGAACCAGTTATTAAGGTTGACTGTCGTGAAAAACTATCCATTCGCCTAAATAAAGCAACACACTCCATTGAAGCCAGACAAGGGCAGCAAACCGCATAATAATCTAAACCATATGGTAAGTGTGGCGGAAAGTACCGGCACAGTAGTTTACGTGAATTGAAGACCGTTTAATTGGCTAGCCGAACAACCTCCACGTGTTGCCAGTTGGGTGGTTCGGATAAACTTCGTTCAATCAAATGGTTCGTCGGCAGTGTTGCACGATGTGGTGGGATTTCGCCCGGCAAGCGTTCTGCCTACAAACGCCGCAGATATCCGTTTAACAACAATGTGCCGTGGCGGATGTGGCTCGCCACTAAATAAAGGCATCGCCTATGCCATTTTCCGGAGGACCTTTAACCCACCAAGAAAGTCATCCGCTTCGAAGCGTTCCATTGATTTCCGCTTTTGATGGCGAACCCAACAAACTAACACACACAATCACATTTACCTACTCACACAACATATCTACTTCGAAATACAGCCATAAACATACTTTTATCTGTCAACACGTAAATTCCTATACAACTATTCAAACTGTACCAATTTGTGCAATTGCCGGTCGTGTATATCTGTAATACCTGCTCACGCCCTTGATGGTGTGCCTCGAAGTGACGAGAATAAAAAACTATTTATTTATTTATTCATTTATACAACCGTAATGTGAAGTCTCCAACCTTTGTGTGTTTGGGGCAAGGTGGCTTGAAAAAAGTGCGTACTGTACCCATGTGCCGA